TTTTGCACTCGTTACGAAATATACTATAATTTAATCGATCGAATGTCATTCGCGCGCATTTCAGTACGGAGACACAATGACAAACATTGTGGTAGTCCAATTCTCCGACTACGTTCAAACCGGAAGGGATAAGCGCTTCAACCTCACGTGCCTCTTCCGAGGCCCCGGTGAAGCTGTCGTCACTTCCGGCTACATCGGCGCTGGGTACGACAGGTTAATTAGATTGTAGATTAATAGATCATTCATTTCTTCGAAAATCTCAGCGCGTGTTTAATTGATCGATGTGTGGAATATCAGTAGATCCGGTTCGCCGATTCCCATCGAGTACCTGCCCGCCGAGAATACACTGAGTTCAAAGGTGCGATTACTGATTTTGTATCAAGGAAGACCCACCACGACCATTGCGGTGGGCGATCCCCTCACTTTCAGGCTCGAGGCTCAGGACGGGTGAGTGCTGTCGTTCTAGCGTTCGAACATTTGTGGACGAAATTAATTTTGAACTCTTGTTGCTTGCGTTTTTTCCAGGTATAATTATGTTAGCGACATATTCGCAACGAATGTCATCGCTCGGGATCCTTATTCTGGGCGGAGTGTGCAGCTAATTGATCGATATGGGTAATATTTCAAAGTATTTCCAATTTCTTGTGTCAGGATAACTAATTTTAGCCTCAGGAGTTCGAATATGCCATTTTAATTGAAAGAATAATTGGTTAAATGAATCCAATTTTGAATTGGATTAAAAAATTCTTCTCAATGCCATCTTAAATGGGTTCGATCATGAGATTGAGAGCATTATCTGTTGTTGGAAAAATTTATTTTGAAATCAATATTCAGGGAAAGGTAAAAAATGTTAATGTTGGGGCAATGTTGGCTGCCAACGTTGGGATAATGTCGGCTGTCAGCGTTGAGACAATGTCGGGAGAATGTTGACCGCCAATGTTGGGACAATGTCGGGGCAATGTTGGCTGTCAATGTCGGGAGAATGTCGGCTGCCGGCGTTGGGCCAATGTTGGGAGAATGTCGGCTGCCAACATTGGGGTAATGTTGAATTCAATGAATCATTGACTTCAATTTAAAATACATCACCATAAAAATTCCATTCGAATCCACTCGAATTATTCTCACCTGTTTCCTTCGTGATTATCCCAGGACCCTGCTAATCTTCTCAAAAAAAAAAAAAAACAGAATT